ATTCAACGGGTGAGTACGATTGGTATCAAGTACCCAAACTCAACCTGCATCTAATCGTCCGAACCTGTAGAAGATTCGGAACTGGAGGAGGAGTCATCCTTCGACGTCGGGTGGCACTTTGGACACAGTTTCCTATAAGACTCATTTGGCCTTTCAGGCGGACAAGTCGTTCTGGCGTAGCTCTTCGATGCGAAGGGCCATCCGCATCCCGTCCTCCATTGTGAAGGGGAATCTCTGAGCTTTACAATGGCTTGATGCCGAACTCCTGAACAAATGTTGTCAACCACCCAGATCTCTCCATTCGTCTGGGTGTCAAGAACGATCGAGATGCCTTCGAGTTGGTGACACTGGTCAGAAGCACCACGCGACAACTCGACGATCTGTTGCTTCAAAACTTCCTGGCTTTTCTTCTGGTTAGTGAGCTCGCGCACCAAAGTCAGCTCTGAGGTCCATGCTTCCTGCTGTGTTCACTGCCTGGCGGACTGCCGATTGGTCACTGACTTTGGCGCCTTGCAAGCCAGCTCTAGTGATGCGGTCCGCAAAGCCGTGGAGTGGTGACTCAGCAATGTATGTCAGCACAGCATCTGATCCCCACCTGCCAATGAGTTGTATGGTGATAGGGTCAAGGCCATGGTAGGCAAGCGTCCTGGTTCCAGTGATTCTGAAACAATGCCCACTGACCGTCCAGGACCCATCTCTGGCCTTTGAGGCTGCACCTGTATTGGCAACTGCAACTCTGAGTGATGCAACCACTCCCGCTTTCGAACAGTAATCGCCTTCAGAGTTGGGAAACAGTGGACTGTCCGACTCAAGCATCTCCCCCCCTGTCTCTGCGAAACTTCTCCAAGGCAGTCATGTGAGCCACCAACGTGTGGTACGGACACGGAAGTTCTGTGTCACAAACATAGGTCCAGGTCCTAGTGCTGGAGACTGGGAGGTTGAGCGACACCGCAGTTTCCGACAAGGTCACGTCCATTACATCGATGGCCGAGGCCTCCAGCTCACGCAGAAGAAACATAGTGGCACGCGTGATGAGAGCTTTCACGTGCACCGGCCCTTCAACATGAAATGGTCCGTCAGTCACCTTCAGTGTCTTCATCACGGCGGCAGATCAAAGGACTCAGACCTGGTCGGCCCAGCGAGCCCCCGGAGAACTGACTGGGCGCATTTCTTCGACACCACGTCCAGCCTATCCGTCCAGTCGTGCCCCGACATGATATGGAATTCCTTTGCTCTGCTCAAATAGTTCTTGAAAGATTTGTAGCCACCGTATTTGAACAAGGCCGAAACCCGGATGATCTTCTGCTCGTCAAGTGGCCAAGGTTCCGACTCATCACCGAACCACATCTTGTGGTATCTTGTCCAGGTCGCCAGCTGTGACTCTCTAGGAGCCCTACTGGAGGCAGCATGCATGTCGGTCACCAACTCATTCAAGATGTCTTGCTTCGTCTGGTGACCTTTGGCCACACCTTCATGCACAATTGCCATGGATGCTCGATCGATTCGACGAACTGCCGGCATGTCAGACATCTTCCGTTTGCCTCCCGCGGTGTCATTGCCCTGGGTGCCTGCTGAGATTCGAGAAGGGTTGGTGCCAGTGCCTGTCTCTGTGGTTCCAAAAGGTGACAGGTTCCCTTTCTTCAAATCTATGGGCGTCCCAGTGCGGACGGTCTTCAACCACCCTTCGATGTCATCCGAGGGTAGCGAGAATCCTCCCCTCGGGACACCGACCGCGGAGAGTCGAGGTCGCCTGAACATGTAAGTGGCTGCGGAAGCACGAAGACTGACTCACCCACCAAAGTGGGTGTCACGAACAACGAAGCGGCGTGCCAAGCGGATCGACGAACGAGCAAGCGACCGAAGCGCACGACCCGGAGCGAAGGGAACGACGACGGAGACCCAAACGACCAGGTTCCACTCCCCCCAGCACAGCCATTGCACTTTTCACTTCACAAGGAGTTCGAAGGCCAGTTTTCGGCCAGTCTTTGGGACTTCCACCCGTCTCTTCGAGTTGGGTGTCTTGGCAGGCTGGCGGCGTCGAGGCATTTCCACCATGCCAACCGACGTGGTTGGGGCATCACAGCTTTGGCACCTGTGAGGATGGTGGGCAGATTGAACTGCTTCTGTGGATCATTGATCCGTGACAATGCGTCGCACACGGTGTTTGTCAGGCCAGGGATGTGTGTGACAAGCTGTGGCCTGCACGTGGCCCGTCCTAGGTCAAGCGCAAATTCACGCGCTATCTGGCTCAAGGCAGGCGAACTCGCCTTGAGGTTTGCAAACAAGGACAGGGCACCTAAATTATCATTACGAATCTGAAGGAACACCGGGAAGCGCTGCCAGTGTTCCGCCCATTGCCTAAGGGCAATGAGGCCGGCTAGTGCCTCCCACACTTGCTGTCCTTTACAATCACCAGCCTGCACTCCTAAAATGTCTTGATCGGCTTGCGAGATGCGAATTGCAAAGAACTCACGAAATTCCCCCTGAATTTGGAGGGCTTGCGTCCCAAGTGATCACAACGGTCGGGCCGGTTCTGCGGAAAGCTGCCAGCGTAAATTCACGTCTGATGCCAGCATGTTCACCTTTCAGAAAGGTGATCAGCCAACCAAACGCAGATTCGACCTGCTTTGTCCAAATGCATCCAGCTGGCGCATGTGTTTGTTCTGCATGCAGTGCTGTATAAAGCTGTTGAACAAAAGGCCTCCAAACAATGATCACAGACGCAACAGACATGCATTTGCCCATGATTGTCCTTAAGCTCTTCTTTGGCACCACGTTGCAATCAATTGCGTCCTGTAGCAACTGCAATATTTCTGCAACTTTGGCCTCTGTCACTTCAGCTATGATCATCTCTTGTTTGATGTGAAGCTGAACGCCGATCCACGTCAACCTGTTTGCCAGGGTGGCCTTGTGGAAGGCCAGCGGAAAGCCCATCACCGTCCAAGCTGCTGCGACCGTTACTGCCAAGCGTCTGATGCTCTGTTGAGTGCCTCTGATGATAACCAAGGGGTCGTCCACATATGTTTGCAACCTGAAGTCATTGCTCAAGCTCTGTATCCACCTCGACGCCAGTGCCATGATGGCTGCAAACGTCAACGGTGCCATCCTAGACCCCTGTGCAGTTCTTGTGAACATGTAAAACTTCTCTCGCAGCTTTGCACAAAAGAATCTCCTCTCGGTTGGGTGCAGTGGGACCAACCAGAATGCATCGACTATGTCGGCAATGAACAAGGTAACACTCTGTTCATCATCAGCGCAATCCAGCAGTTCCAGCGACGAGTTGACCGCATCTGTGATTCTGGGCAGTACACTTTTGTGTGTGCGACAAGAGGTCGTTGAAACCCCACTGCGCTTGCAATCCAGGATGATGCGGCTCTTGCTGATGTATTGGCCTGTGTCAGGGTTGTACTTCTGCTTCTTAAGGCATGCCAGTTTCGACAACACCGGTTTGTCACCCAGTGCTTCTTCAACTGCTCAAGGCTGTCAAAGCGCCGTAAGTACCCTTTGTTCCAGTAACCTTCCAGCGTTTTGAGTGCCTCTTCGTCATCTTCAACTCCCGAGTAGTTCTGGAAGCTGTCGAAGTCTGTGGCCAGGTCATGCAAGTCTCTCGGGTCCTCTTCATCTTCGACCCTGGGAAAGATGCCATCCAAGTTGTCCGACTGTTTGTTCAAGCCTGCCGGTGCACCTTGATACAACCATTTGACCACTCCAACCGCAGGGTCCCCTGCGACGCTTGCCCATGCCTCCAACAGGTGTGCTCGAATGACTGTTGAACAATGCTGATTGTCAACCGGCTCAACTGAAAGGTTAGTTGTCACTTGTCCTGCCGCGTTCCTGATCAACAGCCCCTTTATGTCCTGCCTCATCAAGCCAATCCTCTGCTCAGGGATGACAACTTCTTCAGGGTTCTGATGTTCAGCAATGTTTTGCCACAACTGACTCTCAGCTGCTGCATCCTCATCGAGATGTCTCTCAATGATGTTTCGCACTTGTACCCCAATGTAAGCCATCCTGTCAGTGACCCAATGCCGAACATTCCTGAGGCTGTTGCGATCATCCGACTGTTGCTTTTGTTGATCTGAATTCTCCGACAACTTCAAGGCCTTCTGCGGCTGTGGATCCCAGTTGCGTTGACCTGCAGGTCGCTTGCTCTGTCCACCCGGAGTGTTTGCGGTCCTCTTGCCGATTGCTCCAGCCAGTGCCCTGGCTAAAGCCTTGTTCAAAATATGCTGCAGCCTGCCTAGTCAAGTACTCTCCATGTGGCTCCCTCAGTCTTCGCATCGATGGCCTCCATGAAGCTGCCGGGATTGCCCTCTGCCTGCCTTTCAGCGGTGGATGTGAAGCGAATATCCACTTTCCACTCCATGGCACTCTCCACCACTGCTTGGGGTGATTGCACAACACTGTGAACTCATCAAGCCCTTCAATGTTGCCTAACAAGTCAGTCAACTTCTCTGCTGGTGCTCCAAATCTGCATTGAGCGAAGGTGTACCTGTGGACTCCCTCTGTTGCGATCAATGTTTTGTATTCATCAAGCTTGAACATCGAAGTCTGACCTTCTCGCTCATGTGGTTGCTCCAGCAGCCAGGGCTTGTTGTCTGCATGTGCCCGTGTCGCGGCCTTGTGACCACGGAGGGCTAAAATGTTTCCCTCCCTGGCCTTCTGCTTGTCTTCGCCCGTCAGATGCTTCAGTCCGTAGGTTTCCGGGCCTGATGCTGCTCTCAACGGTTGCGGGCCTCCTTGTCCTCGCCTCGCAGGTGAAAAGGTGCTGCAAGGCGGTGAAATCATGTAGCCATCAAACATCATCAAATTCGATTCTAACTTCTCCCAAACATCTTGGTCCAGAAGGTCATGCAATTCATTGATCTCTCTGTCCACGTAGGTGGTGTCCAGCCCATGATCCGTGAGGAATTTCCCCAAACCATCGACCGGTCTGTGTGGACCACTGTAAAGGTAAAGTACTTTGCCACCAACACGCCTGGGTTCTGTAGCTGGCACGCTGGCGACTGAATTCTGCTCCGGGCCCATCGACTTTGCTGCATCAACGTCATGGCCCTCATGCAGTGTGGCGGCAGTCTGTCAGTAGGGTGGCTTCTTGCCACCTTTGCCCTTCTTGCCGCCTCCTTTCTTGCCTCTGCCCTTCGCTACCCTCTTGAGAAACCCAGGCTCAGGCATCTCTGCATGCGGGCACTTGTTGGCTGCGTGAGAGCCCAAACATCGCTCACACTGATGCACTGAATCACAAGCGTGTCTGCACCAAATGCCTTGATCTGCATCTGTACATGTGCCCTTGTTGTAGTCTGCGCAAAGCTTGTAACCTGTTCTGTTGGTGAGATACTTGCCGTCCGACACGTTGTTGAACCTGCCCGTCCTGCTTGACTTGCGCCCTCTCGGATCAACTGTAGGTGGAGGTTCATTCGATGCCGATGCAGACTGGTTCGACGATGATGCCATCCTCCACGGTGCTGGTGTTGTCTCTCTGGGACGAGGTCCCGGTTGAGAGGTCTTGGCATCTCCATCCACCACTTCTGCTGTGTTGGTGATCTTCGTCAGGATAAGGAACGACGGGTCTGAAACTTCCTCACGCCAAAACTCGAGATCATCACATGCCTTCCCCCCAGACGTAGCTTCATGGCCTGGCCGGATCGTACCCAGCTGGCGTCGGGGATCCTGATGCTTTCGTCTGGTCATACTCGGCCTGCGCAATCCTCTTGAGCCTCGGCATGTGTTCCAGCCTGCACCTGACATCACCCTGATATACAATGCTCCAAACTTTCTCACCATATTTGTCATGATATCGCTCGATGAGTGTCTTGTATCGTAGGAGGTTTCCTAAATCCACAGCGTCCAACATCACCAACACATTTTGCAAAACTGTATAGGATGCAATCCAATGTGTAATGTTTGCTGGACCATGGAACTCCTGGCTTCACTGTCCCATCTCGCCCCAGGGTCACGCCCGAGAGTTTGACCTTCTTCATGATGCGCATGCCGTAGGGGCCAAAGATGGCAAAATCACAGTATGGCACACTACCTTGGTCCAGCAGACGACGAATGGCTGTGATCTGTTCAGGCGTTGGTTCACTCTCCTTCGGTGGCCTTTCACCTTTTCCATAGACCACTTCAAACCTTGCAAACGCCTTCAAAATTTCTTTCTCCTCATCGAGCAAAATCTCTGTGTCATCGATCTGTGAGATCACGCTGCTAAGTTTAATCTTTCTGACTGAGGCAGCTGAGCTTGGGCTCAGGCCTGCAATGAGCCTGCACAGATGTCCTACCCACTTGGCTTGTCCGATCTCAGTCAATGTGGGTAGTCGGGCTGTGCCTCCAGCAGCCGGAACCTTCCAGCCCTTCACTGTCGTGTCATAGTCCGCCTCCGACATGATGCCAAGGGCTGCCGGTTTTGTGTCTACCTTGGCACCTAATAGTTGTGCAAGTGACCCTGCAACTGACTTGTCGTCCGCCAAGGTGTCCTCCAGGCCAGCGAAAATGAAAACCTCACGCAGCGTCAACATTTTCTTTCGCTCATCTTCCGACGGCTCCATGGATAGTCACTTCGAATCCTGATGGTAGCCGGATGCTCGACTTTCCAGTGTGGAACCACCTGCAAATCCTTCGGCAGCAGAACCAGATCGAGGTGATCACGATCACCAGCAGTGCAAGGAAGCACTCCAGGATATGGCTCGACCCCGCCGCCACCGTCACGCTACCCACCGGCTGCAATGCAGTGACGATGCCGGTGGGTGCCAAACTCATGCACCCTTCCCCGCCGCAATGACACCGTCGGTGCCAAAGAAGTGAAGGGTGCCCATCCTTGAGCCAAAATGGCAAGGATGGACACCTTTCACCCACCCAAGCCACCCAAAACGCGACACATGTTCCGTCCACAACGCGTTGTTACCTCCCACAAACGACAAGACTATCATTCCCTTGATTAATCACTTCATGCCAGAAGGCATCACCTTTCTCATCATCTGGCAAAAGCATAGAATGACAACTGTCTCTCTCTTCATCTTCGTGTTCAGTTGTCAAATGCTTCTCTGTCACCTTGGTGTTCATCCTCACTACTGCTTCCAAAGTGAGCATGCACACCGAAATGTACTGAATTCAAATTCACAAACCAAATTAGGTGTCGTTTCTTTAAGTAGCCTTGGTGTCTGGTTCATTTTACCGTTATTGTCACCACTCGCCCATTCCATCCCACCATTCGCTGACAATGGTCTTGATGTTGCACAGGATTAATTGATAATGTGACATTTACAAAATCTACATATTCTCGCCGACCATCTCAATAGATGACACTTTGGTGGTAACATTGAACAAAAGACTGGTGATAATGATGTGAACAATAACTAATTAATGCTTCAATATATCAATATATACATAATCACTGTAACTATATATATAGACACACACACACACACGACAGTGTGTAAATTACCTGGATCGATTGTGCACCTTCCTTGGCGAAGCCACCACTGCGTACCAAAGCAGCATCCACCGCGGACTGGCCAGCTCGACTACCCGACTCAAGGGCTTGACCAATCAAACATTCACTGCAACTTGGCATAGCGGCGCCACAATCTGGCTTCATACATGTGTCATGTTTCCAAAAACAAATGTCACAGTCAGCAACACCCCATCTCATATGGAGCCAATTCTGTCTTTGTTGGGGTTTCTTTGGGAGCAGACCGATCTTGTTCAGCATCTAAAGCTCTTTCAGACCGAAACAATTTGCTCAGTTCATACTTAGACTCGGGTGAACTCGGCAGTTGTTCCAATGCATTGCAGTCAAATCAGTAAATGCTGTTGATTGTGATAGCTTCAGAGTGATAATTACTGAAAGGCTGAAAGGGTATCCCTCCCAGCTATATACATCCTTACAGAATCCTTACAATCATTGCATTCGGTCAAGCGTGCACAGCAGCTGGCCTCCAGCACTCCCGTCTCCACCATGGCGGCTCCTAGCACCTTGAGACGAAGTCACAGTTGTTGGATGTGACAAAGAAATGGACAGCAACCCAGTTAAAAGGAATGCGTCCTAGATGGAAAAATATATATGCGAGCTTTCGAGTTGTTTCATAGCTGTTCCCAAACGGTGACGAAGCTGCCTGACAGCCTCACATTGAATGAGGACTCAAGGTGCTTGAACGAATACTTCGCATGTTGAACACCAGAACTTTGCGCCTCCAAGTAAAAGTTGAGAGCACGATTCTGCTCGTGGATGTCTCCCTGCGGCAACGAAACGGGAGCATAAAACTACCACCATCATCTCTATCTGTTGATCCCAAATTCATTGGCAGTCTGTGGTTGTGGGAGGTTGTGGCTGTGTCGTCCAAGCTCTAGAGCTCCCAACCAATCTGTAGCCTGCACTCCGATGGTCAATCGTGACCATTCACATTGTCTGCCTGTTCTCAAACCACAAAACTGCCCCTAAGCCTGTGATCATCTTTTGATCCAATAGAAAGCAACATGCGCTTGTTTCCAAGGTGCTATGTCCATCCCTCCAAGCAAGAATCTGTTTTCGCTTCCGTGAACTCAGAACTCTGTCCAGCCTCGCTTCCGTCGCTGCGGTGGAAGGCCAAGTCTGGGGCTGTGAGGCCGCAAAGTGCCAGAAGGGCTACGCCTTCGAAGGAACGGAGTGGGGAGGGCCACGCCTTGGAGGGCCCACAGTTGGCCCAAAAAAATCAATGCGTCAGCAAGTCAACAGCTGCTAGGCCCTAGGCACAGCAGGCACGTTCAAAACCAGGATTTTCTCAAACGTCTCCCCACATCAGGGCAGGAGTCGGAGGCTCCATGCGACAATTAAAGTCCTGCGAGTCCTCCAGTGTTCGTCTGAGATTCAGAAGAACACCCATTTTGCTTGCAACTACCTCAAAGGACCAAAACAATCTTGCACAAGCTGGTTGCATGCACATCTACATTGTGCTGGGTTCTGATTTCTGAGATGTCTGTGGACACCCCAAGTTCCAGTGCACAACCTACCGTTGCGTTCTTGCCTTGAATCTCACCAGTGTCATGCGGTAGGGAGCTGTCATCAGATCGCACTGCGAACAGGCCTCATGTGAATTTGGCCGGTCCAATGAGTCAGTGTGCTCTTATATCCGCTAACCAACTCCACAGTTCACATCTGAAGAGACCACCGCTCACGCGGGCTACCTGCTTTTTCTCTCCATGCACCTCGTAGTAGAGAGCAAAGGCAAAGGAGGTCGTGGTTCACAAACTCCATCAAGCCACCAGCTGCGAGATTGGTAAAGGGAATAAAACACAGCAAACAGAACACGGAGTTCAATTGTTGCTTGGATAACCAATGACGCGGTTGTCATTGTGTTCTCTAAAGAGATGGCCTGTGACCGAGGAGTAGCCAAGAGCCCTGAAGAGCACACACATGAGCCTCACGGCTTGGGAAGCCCCGAAAACCTTGGGAGAGACCACTATATTTCATATCCTGTTATCCCCTACTGTGGGTGTGAAATCGGCGTGGCTCAAAAAGAGGATCCACAAACCTTGGTCTGATTGTCTTTTTGAAATGAGTGCGAGGTGTATATACCCTGTCCTTGAGCCATACACAAATGATGAGTTGTTTATGAGTTCGCACAATCCTTGGAGGAGAATCTTGGTGTTGCCTCTTTGATGCAACAAGCCTGGAATGGATGGGCCATCCAAGGCCTCACTAGAGTACCATGCTGAGGCCACACTTCCTTGACCGCAACACATCTCAACTAGTCTTGACCCATCTCCCCGATCCAGCACTGCAAGAAAGTGGCCAGGCTGAAAGCTCTTGCAGCGCCTGCTGGCGCTCGTTGAAGCAAAAAAATGTCTGTCCCAGAATCTTGTCAAGTATCCTTGATGATCAGTTTGCCCACCAAATCGTTGCTTAGTGCTTTCAAGCTAGCTTGAATAGGGACATACAAGGCATCGTTAGGCCATACTTCTTCACCACCTGCCTGCCGGTGTTCAATCGAGCCCCAGTATGCGCCGAAGTCATCCTCGCGAGTGAAAACTCAGGTGTTAAGATGTTGCGTCTGCCCAAGGGCCAAAGGACAAGTGGCTGTGGTGAACATGACTCGACTGGAGTTGCTACAGTGGTCCAGCACTTTGGTTGGTGCAGAGAGAGTTGGAAACTGTTCACAATGCCGAAGCGTTCGAAACATATCAAAACCATGATCATTGGCCTCAATAGGATCCAAGACAACAGGAAGCTCATCTGACCTCAGCACGCAACTGTAGGTAAGGAGTCTATCTCTATAGCAGGACCTGAACTAATTCTGCTGTGGAAGCCTGTTGCTTTGAGACAACTTGAAGCATCTGGTAATGCTTATCCATGGTCGATCTGTCTCTGGACTTGGAAGTGCCAGCATCAAGGGACCCTGCTCAAGAACTTTGCTTTCGAGCCGACCGAGCCCACAGTAGACCTGGCTGCTTAGTGTGAAAGGAATAAACAGAAAAAGAAATGGCATCTGCATCAGACTGACCATAGCGTTTGCTTCGAGAAGGAGCAAAAGCGAAAGGAAAAGTCAAGCTCTCTTATGTGTTTTTGATTGTTGATTTTGCTTTAGTATGTGTTGCATGAATTCGACACGAAAATCAGCAAAATGAAGAAAATAATTGAGTCATTTAGTCCATTTCTCACTAAAGAATGACATGGGTCCAATGACCTGGCCAAAAACGGGGAACCTGTCTTGCACAGGTTTGCTTCTTCGCCTCTAGTGCCAGGAAGTCAATTTGATCAGACAGGTCCTCTCAGACAGATGCATTTGCACCAGGTTCAGAGACGCAGGATAACTCAAATCTCTGGAAAAGGTTCTGCGACAAAGGTTCTGCGACGCCCTCATCAAATCTCTGGAATGATAAGGAATCTAATGCTCTTGACTCTTCATGACACAAAGTGAAGAACGCTTCATGAAAATGTTTTGAACAAATGTCTGTGCATTTGCCACAAACAGCAGGTCATACCTCCAGGGTCTCTCTGACCCAATCGAAGCTGCAGGCCTCCCAGAAAGGAACCAAAGGCCAACACAGGTTGAGTGAGGTGCCAGGTTTCGGGTGCACCTCACATGGTTGCTTCGCAAACCCAAACAAAAAGGCGTTGTTCTTCACTGCTTGTAGTTGCTGCTGCCGTCAAAATACAATCAAGTAGGTGCACGATTCAGTTCTGTTCAGTATACATACGTGTATATATATATATATGTGTGTGTACATCTCACTGTCCACTGCGTCTTCCTGTCAAAGGTTGCTGGGCCCAGGGGGGCCTTGACAAACCAAGGAGTACAATCCAAGTTAATCTCACCATGTCCGGGGTTGGTGCTTCGGCACTCGGACTCAATGGCCTGGCCATCTGCCAAAGGCAAAAGCAAAGCAGCAAGAACCTGCAGCTGGTCCCAGCAGGTTTTTTTCTGAAGCATGCCTGGGAGACCATCTAGAAGGAACCTCGTGTCGCTCAGTCCAAGTCGAGATCTTGCTAAGTTACTCGAAGTAATGCGCATGTTCTGTTCATTGCTCTGTCATGCTCTGTCTCTAGTTGCTCTGTCCATCAATCCTTTCACATTCACTCACTGCATACCCCAACGACTGCCAACAGTGGCACTGACCTACGTGAGAGTCGAAGAAAAACGTGGTTGGAAAAAACGGAAAAAGCGTCCCTGACCTCACACCCCGCGGTGACCAGCCGTGCCAGGACTGTGGACAGCTCTGCACGTTCCTGCACAACTACGAACATGTTTGTGGGGAAAGGTCCCCGCACATCATCCGGTCTTGCGACTTCACGTAACAGTTGTTGTTAAGTGTTGTTCACTTTTTTCTACCCGCTCTCAAGAACACCTACAGTAGTTAAACCTGTATGTCAACCTGCTCAGAATTTGGTTCACGCATTATGTTTGCATAGACCTGCCACAATGATAGGATGCGGAAAAAACAACATTCCGGTTCCCAAAAAAATCAAGGCCATGCTGGCCGTAACCCTTCGTTGCTCGGCGCGTTTGCGCTCCACCACATTGATACACTCCACCGCCAAGCCTTGGCAAATCTGAAGGAAACTAATGTGCAATAAACAGTTCGCACTATTCGCACTGCGGAAGTCAGAAGTCAGCAGCCCAAAAAATGTGATTTGTGTCCACAATTTTTTGTAAGGGAGTGCAAACCTCACAAGAGGAGAGAAGGTCTAGAAAAGGACAAGGTGCTTCGACAGGGAACACGAGGTTTGAGTTGTTTCGGCCTTGCTCTCTCCGCGGAAGAGTATACCAAGCCTGTGCTGTAACCACATGAGTTCTCTTATCCCGAATTTGGGCAATGCCTTAGACAACCAGAGAAAAACAGAAAAATTGTTTTAACCCACCAAAGCCCACCAAGTGTTCACCGTATGCATTGATAGCCGACATGGCTGAAATCATCTGAGCTGCCACAAAGAGATGGTATACTTGCCTCCGCAGGCCTAGCAAAGTGGCTCACACTGTCACACGTTGTGACGATGTCCAGATATTAAATATGTGTGTATAATATATATATATATATATATTATATATATATATGCACAGTATATATCCCGGCCGACAGTGAGCGTGTTCGCACTCGCCCGCTTCAGACTTCAGACAGTGAGAGTTTCTGCCCCTTGGGTGTAGAGTTTCCGGGTCTTTTGAAGACATGTGTGCGCTGAACGACACGCACGCAAGCATCTTGCCCGCCCAAATCGCCCTTGAGATGCACATTTGCCCACTCCCTTGAGATACACATCAGGATGCTCGACGAGCCCTCGGAAAAAAAAAGTCGGACAGCTCTGAAATCGAAATTCTGTTGTGTTCTATGTGAAAAAGACTAAAAATTGCACGGTAACAGCGCCCTGTGGTCGCACAAAATTTCAGAAAGGTCACGTCACAAAAACATGACGCATTTTCTTATGACTGTCTTAGGTAAATCCATCTGGATTTATGTGTATGTGTATATATATATATATACCTGAAAAGGGAGGGGGCGAAAGCCAGCCCTCGTCGACACTCAGCGCAACGTGTTGCACTCAAGAAGCTCCAAGAAGCGATGTGAGAGTGTCCAACACGCCCGGTTACTGCAAAGACCCTCTGATAAGACCCTCTTCATTCGCAAGATTCTTGGTAGATGTTCGAAGATGCATCTGCCGCGTCCTGCTTTGTCCAATGTCCTTTTGCTAGAACCTGCTTGTCGGAGCAGGTGGCCAAAAGAGCAGCAACAAAACTGTTCCTCAAGGTCTGTCCTGGGGGAACTTGTTGCTAGAACCCTGTGTGTCCAGGGGTGCGTTTTTTGCTGCAAGACGGTCCCAAACAAAGCGCAGAAGGGCGCCAGCCCAGAAATGTGGTTTAAGTGCGTTGCCTCGGCTCTCTGCATTTAGATCACAGACTGTCTCTCCATACCTGGACCTGCATCAACAAAGTCCATGTAGATGATGGCCTGGGTGGGGGTGATGCTGTTTTTGCTAAAGCCATTGATCAGCTCGAAGCCCGATTTCCTTTTGGAAGTAAGCGTCAACGGTCGTTTGTGTTCACTGGCATTCAGGTAAACCAAGATAGCAACGGTGACATCCGCCTTAACCAAACGGAATATATCAAAGATATCACTGGAATTGAGATTCCCCGAGAACGTCGCAAAGAACCACAGAATGCAGCCAACGATAAAGAAATCCAAGCACTCAGAGGCTTGATAGGTAGCCTTCAGTATGCTGCATCGAACACAAGGCCAGACCTGTCGCGTCGACTCAGCTTGTTGCAGGCGAAGATACCACGTGCGACGGTTGGAGATCTGTTGATAGCGAATAGGCTATTAGAAGATGCAAAGAAACATGCTGACGTAGAATTTAGAATCCAATCTATGCCAACAGAGCAAGTTCGGTTTCTTTCATTTTCCGATGCTGCTTTTGCCTCGAGGGACAAAGCCCACTCCCAGAGGAACTTTCATCCTCGCCACAACCCCCGGGGTCGATGATAACCACGGTTCAAAGGTAAGTCCTATAGTATGGTGCTCCAAAAAGATCGCCCGTGTGGTAGCTAGCACCCTGGCGTCAGAGACATATGCTCTCTCAGGTGCTTTGGACCAGGTGAGTTGGATCCGATTACATTGGAATTGGATGATCGATCCTTCGACTGTTTGGAACAAGCCATCAGAGACTTTACCTCAGCTTCCTCCGGCATATGCCGTAGTTGACTGCAAGAGCCTCTACGACCTTCTCCAAAAGACGACTGTTCCCCAGTGTAGTGAGTATAGGACACTTCTTGAAGCACTGGTGATCAAGGATCGCCTAAGGGAAGGAATAATAATTAAATGGGTGCACTGTGCTGCCCAAATGGCAGACTCTTTAACGAAAGAAATGGACACCAGTATCCTTAGAACTTTCCTCAGGAATGGCAAGTGTTTCCTCAGGGATGTGGATGAGATTCTTAAACAGAGATCGGATCGTCGACTGCGTCAGACCTGGATGCAAAGCACCACCACCTCTCCAGGTGACCAAGCGCGCACCTTCTGTCAGGGATGTAATCTCCAAGATTACCAGACAGTTGTGCCTTCAACATGATGCAAAGACTCGTCAACCACCTCATCCGTGTGCGCCCTATGCATGATAGAGTACAATGGTACTGCGTTAATTCCAACGTTTAGTCCGTTTGAAAAGACAAAAGAGTTTTTTTTAGGAGTGTGATTTCAGTGGCCAAACCTTGCAACCTGGACTTTGAAGGGTACGCTGTCACATGAGAGGTGACACTCATCCGAGTGTCATGTGTTCGTGCCCGTGAGAAGGGGCTCAAGTCAGGGGGCTTGGATGGTAGGCCGTGGACGGCCGTTCGCCCTTGGTCGTGGACGACCCTCGGAGGCTGCGGTGTGAGAAAGACGCGCCCGGGAGCGCTTGGTGGGTAGAAGTGATAGGTGAGGGAAGGGCGACGCTTCCAGTGTGGGGAATCTACAATGCCAGTATATATTTACCTGTATGTTAACTGTTACGAAAGCCAGCCAATAGGCTAGGCTGAAGTGCTAGATGGGTGAACGAAGTGAGTATTAGTGGGGGGGTGGTCTCATGGATGGTCCTGTTGGCTATGGTGAGCCCAGAGCCTGCTTCAATATTGCGTGATACCATTCAGTGGGCAGGACGTCGAGTTGTGTGTATGGTTCTTCTAAAGACGGCAACCTGCAAGCAGGCATGTCGCCGCTATAAAGACCTCAACAAAGAAGACAATGTGTGGTATCAGCAAAGGGCCGTTTCTGTACTGCTCAGCTTTACAGACAAGCAGGCATATTTCGTTCCAGGAGAAGTGAACGCGTAGAGCACCATCTAAGGTGGGCCGAAATGCGGACTGGGCGCGAAGGCCACGTGTGGTCGATGGTGCCCCCTTCCAATCGTTTTGTCAAAGTTTTGGGGACGGAAGGGCGCCGGCAAAGGAGTGCTATCTTCTGGGATCTGGCCGGGTCTTCTCAAGCAGCTTAAAGAAAATACGTTGAAAGACTACGTTTGCTTTCCTGTAAAGACTACGTTTGCTTTCCTGTAAGGCAGAAAAGGGCACCTCTTAAAAGTTGGCTCTAGTGACAAAGCAGGACATGGCAGAGGCACCTTCGAGCACATTGATTGAATCTTGCGCTTGAGTTGAGTTTTTGCAGACTTTGTGCGGGCGAACACGGCCGACGCGTGAAGCGCAGGAGTTTGGTTGCTGCTTGAGATGAACTGTCGATGCAAATGTGGAAAGATTGTGGGTTTAGATGCACCCCCCTTTGCGCTTTGTTTGGCGGCCGTCTCGGGCAAAAAGAGGGCGCGAAGAGCGGGTTCTGGCGATAAGGCCCGTAACAAAGCGGGACATAGCAGATGTATCCTCGAACATTTTGACTTGGGTGTTGCCTTAGGATCTTGATGGTGGACTTTCCGTACAAACAGGCACGGGTCCAATGGAGATATTATGAAGCCAAGGCCGAGGAGGGCAGTCTTCAGCTCTTGGTACCACAACAGTGGTGCATTCACCAATCCGTATGCACTTTTGAGCAGCTCTAGGGTCTCATCATCCTTAAGATTCAGACGTTGCCTTAGTTCTGGAGGAGGCTCGACACCTAAGACCCTTGAGTCTTGACGGCTACCCCTCAAAAAGGCGGTGGAAATATCGAAAGATCTGACCTCCCACCTGTGACTTGAGATGACCTGGAGCGCTAGCATACGGGCGTCCTTTCCAACGTGGGGGAGTCACGGGGTAGACTGTCGATTGCGGGATCCTCAAATCCCAGAATGACGAGTCTGGCTTTAGCCTTACGGCTCAGTCCTGTTGAGGCCTCTATGTCATCGAGCGGTTTGCAAGTCAGAACCCATCTTGACCTGAGGAGTTGTCCCTCAGGTATCTTGTGGCGCAAAACGCGACGGACCGTGTCTGTCGCAAGCCATTGAGAGAGCTCTTTATCTTTGGCCTTCTCGAACTGAATGATCTCTTCTGGCGTTAAGTCTTTGATCTTTACTTCTACTCTCTGACGTTTCGCTGCAGAAGCCAGGAACAGTTCCTGTTCACGTTGGGATTTCCTGAGGCATTGCTTCACTTCGGCTTCAGTCAAGAGAATTTCACAGACTACCCAATTGGGATGCTCTTCTTCAGATATGTGATGAGTTTCGTGACTTCCTACGGAAGTCATTTTGGTTGGCTCGATGGCAAAAACAGACTGACCGGTCCATATCTCGGCAAGAGTTCTATGACTTTCCGGATTGTTTTCCCATGTTTCATGGATCTTGAACCAATCACCAGTTCTGTACTTTCCAGTTGTCCATCGGTCGGGAAGAATGGCGGCATGGGGTACAGGACACGATGGATCAGTACGAGGATTAAACAGTCGAATTCTTGGGATGTTGTGAACACGAATCAAAAAGTTCCCATGAATCTTCCATGTATCGAAATCAATTGAATCGACCGTGAGTTCATCATCACTTTCAGGTGGAATGGGAACCAGGGATGCGTCTGGCATCAGAGTTTCAGGATTATTTGGTGTTGTGGGAAGCTCCAAGTCTGGTTCTGTGTCAGGTTGAGGTGCAGTGCCTACCGAAGCTGGCCTTGGTCTCTCTCCTTCGGTTGGCTCGGACTGATTGACAGCAATCTGAGGGTCCGGCTGTCTGAGCGATGCACTGTCAGGACTTGGGTCCGAAACGGATTCGGTTGGTCTTTGACCTGACTGTTGAGACAAATCCTGATATTGAAACACCCCAGACCCTTGGATTGGCGACGAACCCAGTTCTTGAATGCTCCTAGCCACCAGTTGTTCATGATTAGATAGTGGTCGAACATGTTCAGGGGCAACTCGGATCAACCTGGTCATGTGAGATATTTTGCTCTACCATCAAAACTCTTGCGGGGCCATGCCACCTACCTTCTTCACTTTTGGAGTCCTTCCACACCATGACCCAGTCACCAATGGAAAAATTCAAACGATGGGGTCTTGAACGGGCGTGTTGGGCCC